TTGTAAGCCCTGAGGAAGACACGTGCGTAGAAGTCTCAAAAAAAAAAAAAAAAGAAAAAAAAAAAAGAAGTTGCAAAAGTAGAAAAATCCCTTTTATTAATTTCTCTCTAGCTTTTGCCAGGCTGCTTGAGTGACACTCTGTGCCCTGAAATAAATTCTTTCTGAACTGCCTTTGCCAAGGTTCTAAAGTTCACACTGTGTAAAGGAATCATACTTTTGAACAAAATACTGATACATTTGCCTATCATACGACAGCAAAACAAGCTATAGTTGGGTACAGTTTTTGGAACTATTTCATAAGTGCAGCAGAAAATCAGACTTACATTCTGGGGCCTTAGAAGACATTTATAATCTTCCTAATGTTTAGACTATGTCCTCTCAGCCTCACTTCATCAAGCCAGGATTTAAGTGTTTTAGTGTAAAAGGCTACAGAGCTATTATTGCCAATTCCATTTCCTAAAGACTAGAGGCAGCCCCAAAGCATTTTGAGAATAAATGACTTTGCTTGTTTAAGATGCAAGACGGACTGAACTTCTTCCCAGCAAGCAGTGCAGGGAAATGAAACCACCAAATCGCACTGAGGAGCTACTAGGCCATTTTGAAGCAAGTATCTTTATAAATCACTAAACTTTGAACTGATCCGAACTCTGAATTGTAACCTTTGAAAGAGCGATTTTTTTGTTTGTTTGTTTACTACCAGGGAAGAACCGAAAGAAACAGTTTCAGTGGAATAATTACTGTTTTTTAGAAAAAGTAACCACAAACGCATGTGGCAAGGGAAAAAACATTTCCAAAGACCTCAAAACGAGGTAGTGCAAATATTTTTCTCCTTCGCCTAAAGTACAAATCTGTGCATTTAAAGGCAAACTGCGTATATTTAAAGCAGGAAGCCTCTCCAAAAAACAAGATGAACCTCCATCTACCACAGTGATCCAAACTGGTATTTCTGGTTGATGAAATAGGATTATGAACCATTGCAAACCCCAGATTGCTTCTTAGGTCCACGACGACATCACAAACTCAGGATTAGTAAGGAATAAGTGGCCAAAAAGCCAGAAGGTGGGTAGGGCTACTCAACAGTCCACGCGTCCCTCATGCTGCAGTGGGTGCGTCTGCGATCAGGTTCTCTCTTACCCCACCACACACTCGGCATGTGGGGGCAGAGACCGATTCCAGCTCCCTCCTGGATGCGGGGGCGAGCTGGCAATGGCTATCTTTGCTCTCCTCCAACCCCCAATTCTTCACCAGTAGCAAAGGGAAGCCGGCCCCAGGGCAGGGAGGGCTACCTCTGGGGACGAAGAGGGGGCCCGGTTCACTGCCCCGCGTACCTGGCTCTCAGCTGCAGGGATGCCGGACTCGAGCTCGCACAGCGCGCGGAAGTTGTGTAGCTCGAAGTCAGCGTCGACTTGGAGGGAAAAGGTCACCTCGGAGAGGTCCCTCCGCACACAGTACACGGTGAGCAGCATGGCCCGGGCCCGACCCGGCTCGGCTCGGCCCGGCCTGGGCGCGGGGCGGAGGGGAGGCGGCAGCGGAGGGGTGGCCTGACTGGTGCTGCGGGAGGACGACGCGGGCTATTCGCTCGCTCGCTCGCCCGCTCGCTCCTTCCTTCCTTCACACACGCTCAGTGAGTCACTCCCTCCCGCCTTCACCAGCAAGCACGGCCACCACCACCCGCCCGCGAGTCCGTCTGCCTGCCGGCCTGCTTCCCACCACTGCCGCCAAGCGCGCTAGCCGCCCGGCGCCCCGCCCCGCCGCAACGCGGCTGCCGTAAAGCCCGCCCTGCGGTCTCCGCCTTCGTGACTCATGGAGGGGCGGAGCCAGGACAGGGAGGCGGGAAGAGTGGGAAGGGGACGTCGGAGGTCGAGGGAGGGGAGGAAAGGAATGCGGGGAAAAAAAACTCTGCCGAACTGGTCGTTTTAATAGCAGAAATCTGTGGAGGACTCCACACTCTCGCTTATTCATACAACAGGCATTTATTAAGCGTCTACGATGTGCTAGGCACTGGCGACACAAGTGTGAGATGAAAACTTAAGTCCTTGCTCTTAATTACCTCGACTTAGTACAGGCGATTAACAAGCTAGTTACTTAGTTTTAAAACATATTGTTTGAAGTAGCATTGAGGTTCAAAGAGCGATTAATACACCGTCTCGGTGATTTAGGGTCATTGAAACCAAAATCATCACCCCCTGGAGCCTGCAGAACCCTGCTGGCTGTGGCCACTTCCTACCATTCTAGCCCTGCTTCCTGAGCTCTCCCTACACTCTCTGCCCTCCTAGCCACATTGCTGGGTCTCCATTCCCCCGCCCTGTAAACTAGGCGTCCTCAAACTACAGCCCACGGGCCACATGCGGGTGTCCGGCCCTCCAATGGTCTGAGGCACAGTGAACTGGCGCCCTGTTTAAAAAGTTTGAGGACCCCTGCAGTGAGTGTAAACAGTTTGTCTGCTTGAACTCTTGTTTCCTGGCCCGGGCATCCCCAGCATCTAGCGAAGTGCCTTCATTGAGCACAACTTAGAATCTTCCCAGTAAATATTTGCTTCTTTACCGGCCTCTTTAAAGTTACATACCTGATGAGTGATAGAGGCCCGTCATGTGAGAATGAATAAGAAAACCCAAACTGGAAGACAAATACAGAATGGATTCGAGATTAGCATCTCCCCTTTACTCTCACTCGCCTTTCTTCCAGTATAACAAAAAGGAAGGAGAAAACGTGGCAGCCATGGAAGCAGCAAGTCGGTAGGTTTGGTGGCAAGAAAGAGAAGTACCAGCTGAAGACTTTTATAAAGAGAGAAAGTGGGCTCGGCGCCTATAGCTCAACCGGCTAAGGCGCCAGCCACGTACACCTAAGGTGGCGGGTTTGAATCCCCAGCCCGGACCCGCCAAACA